GAGTGTTCTTCGTTGAGTGGGTGGTCAAGCTCTGGAACAAGTTCCCAGGGAAGTGGTCATGGCCCTGCGCCTGTCAGAGTTCAATAAGCTCTCAGATACATGGTTTCACTTTTAGGTTGACCTGTGTGGAGTCAGGAGTTGGACCTCGTCGGCCCCTTCCAACTCAGGATATTCTATGATTTCAAGTGTTAGTACTGAGTTCAACTGAGTTACAGTACTTGCAGGAGAGGATCTCAAAATACTGTGCAAATGCTAACATTTAACAAAGTGACAGAAGGGAAATAGACATTTGTCTGACCATAATTTTTCTCATCAGGTATTTCTTTTTCAAAGCGAGCATCAAATGAAAATGACAACAGACTGTATTAGCTACCAGTCATGAAAGAGTGATTTTACGAACACGGTATGCCACGCGCTGTGTAAGACAGCAATGAAAAAGACAGACAGCAAACGTTATCTCCATTTCACAGGTTCAGAAGAGAGGCACAAGAAGACCAAAAGGAACACCCAAAGTCACTTGTGCCCTGGACTGAGCTGGGGATATGGCACTAAACCCTAAGCATTTTAGTTGGCTCCAGCATGGCATGGAGGAGGAGGGGAGAATGCGCGCAGACATCTCTGTGCCGTTATTGATGCAACATTTTGCCATTTTCACTTGCAGGGATTCAGGAGGAACAAAGACTTCCCTCCTGTCACAACTGCCTGGAGCTTCTCCTGACCTTTTTTCCCCTCCTATTTTTCCAGGTGATTAAATTGTGTAGTCAGAAAGCATGACTATAACGCCAAGAAGCCAGCAATTTTAACACCACAGAAGGATAATTGTGAAATACTTCAGGCCATATTAGTTTCAACACGGACTGACCCTCGGCGGGTGATGACAGAGTGCCGACAGCTCCCAGCACAATGACTGACAGAACTGGGACACGGCAAATTGCACTTTGGAAGCCTGCAGCAGAACAAGAGCTAGGGGATACGCCGTGCATTAAAACCAGTCACGTACTATATTCTCAGAACAAGGGATGAAGTAGGACAGCCCACAAGTACTCCCCTTCTAAACCGTTTCACTTGAAACGTTTTCCATCCTCCTCAGTCCCCTTTGCTAGTCTGTAAAAGAAAGTCGTCTGTACCGCTAGTGTAATGTTACTCATATTCTTACACTATAAGAGATTTGTACTAAATTAAAGAGATTTTACTACCTTTGAATGTCACGTTAATTGAAAGAACAGCTGGAGTGTGACATCTATCGACGGGTAAGTAAAAGGGTTGCTTTTCCTCCCCTCAACCCAACGCTGCCATTGAACCTCAGACGATTATTGCTGTACTAGAGGTCTCAGTGCTCTACCTGTAAAGATTCAGGCACAATCAATGCACCCAAGTATACAAGATTTTTACATCCCCGCCCCAAATCTTTGCTCACATCTGCCCTAGCTGTGTCGTCTGTAACATTCTCAGCCTGTACATGCCTGTGCGAGCAACTGGGACCCCACAGGCAAGATCCTGAGCGGGAAAGAATCTAGGGTCAGCCAGAAGTAAACATGTAGCATAGGGGAAATTTAGGTTGTTTTGTGGGTTTTCCACCTGGGCAGAGAGGAACCTGGGTTCCATTTCTCAGCTTCAGGATGTTTATTTTTGCCAGTCACTATTTAGCTTTAAATAGAAAACTAAGATAAATAATTGCTCCTGTTACCACAGGTTCCAGGAACTTTGCACTCCCTTCTCCACTGCGGTGTGGCTTCCCCAGGCGACCGGCCTGAGGCACAGGACCGTCTCCTGGGAAGGGAGCTTGGACCCATCCAGAGTGGGGGCTGAAGGCAGCCCAACATCTCTCGCTTTCCAGGACTCATGGTAACCAACTGCTATTACAAAGACATCCCGCTTGGAAAGTCTAGGGCAAGCTCCTACTCTCGAGTGATCATTTATCTTCCAAAGGGAATAGGAAATGCCCTCCTCTACTCTTGAGCGAGCCCCTCAAGGGAGAGGTGAAACAATTGACATTTCCTAATGCCACCCAGCTTCCACCAGGCACTGTAGGTGTGACAGCAACACGTGGAATAGAGCCTGGGTCTTGACGCTGGGAAATGAGGATTTGATAACCCAAACTCTCATCTTCTGTCATTACTATAATGTATTTAGGTTCTGGAGGCATGATCAAACCCTGAGTTGGTGAATCCTGGTGACCCAGGCTGTGTACTGTAAAAGTAGTCTCCTGTTCCTCTGCCTCGTTAAAAAAAAAAAATCAGTACTCACTTCAGCTTGTGCTGACAGGCGACTCTAAGTGATATTAAACTAACATTTTTCTTTCCAGAGGGTGCTTTGAACAGTGCAGCCTTAATTAAAGCATTATTTCAACAGTTTGTTTCCTAAAAATAACTAAATCACCCTTTCCAAATGTCACATCCATACACAATCTGATTTACAACATGAAGTTTCACTGAACCCATGGCATGGCCACAGCAAATTCAATGCAAAGGTAATAACCTCAATTTACATAGAGACCACTCTGAGTGGAATAATCATCAAAACCTATACAATAAAAATAGGAAAGAAAACGTTTAGGCTTATGTAACGGTCAGCCTAAAAGCACAGGCAGCCTAAAAGCACGGGCAGTCTGCAGAAAGGATATTAATGTCTCTTATTCCTGAATGGCTCTAGAAAAATCTGTAGCAGGGAAGGAGTTTTCTACTCGATTACACGGGAAAATTTAAAATATATAAAGGTAATTACAAAACTTCTGTTGGTTTTTGCTTACAGCATGGTCGAAGAGGCTATGATTTAACTGAGACTAGAATGTCAGATACGCTTTTACATGGTTTTAGTGTTGCTCCCTGAAGACCCATCCTGTACTGATCAGGTTATTTACAGATTAAGTGCCCGGAGACGAGAGGTTACAATATGAATTATGTTCATAACCACAGAATCCATTTTATATCTTTATCTAAGAGAATTAGTGACACACAGCACAACTGGCCCAACATCTACAGATCTGCTTGTAACTACCCCTTTCTCCTATGACAGCTTTCAATCTACCACCACATGGGTTGCCACTGATCCACAACAACGGAATGTCACTCTGGCTCAATACCATTAGCCATTTTCAGAACAGGAAATTCAAGATTTGAAGTGACCAGTGAAGTGGGGCAATTATGTTGCAATACAACAATAATATTTACTTTATACAGTTTGAAAGAACTGTTACAAATACCCTTTAAGCACTACAAAATGGGAAGTACTGTGCCTGAGATGTAAATGAATTTAAACCTGTCTTGCCATCATTATGTTAACCAATGGCATAAAGGTCCCAAAATAAAATCTTAGTCACTCCACAATAAAATAAAATCTTCGTTACTATACAAACTTCAAAATATGAGTTACACACTGCAAGAATTGTAGTATATCAAAGAGTAAGTTGATAAAGGATTTTCTTTTAGCCCTTTCTTGCCTCTCCCTTCCATCACAATGCTAAGCTTGTTAGCCGTGTCTGCACTAGTAGAGCCAGGAGACTGGGTGCAGGAGAAGCAATCAAGATTGGAGTGTCAATAAAGGCACAAGATGAAACTGATGCCTCTTCCACACTTCAGCCCTCAGGCACCACAGCAGAACCAGGAACTTTCCAAAGTCCAAGGTTTCCTAGTAAAGGCAGATCTGAAGAGGCACAGCCTCTTTCCTAAGTGACAAAATAAAATGCTGGTACATTCTGTTGTCAAATAAGCCTGTAAGACCAGAACTGAATAGTGTTAATATTAAGCTCCTTTATTCTGGTTATACAGTCCTTTGGGCAGATCACAGTCAACGGTTCATTCAGTCTAGCACACACACCTTGGTTAATTAATCCACGGAGTTAAGTTCCTTTCCAACAATTGCTTTAATGCAGTGTTAATGAAGACTTCTAATTTAATCTCCTGCCTCTCCATTTAAAAGTGATTTTTAAATACCATCAAAAAACAGCACTTCAATAACAGACCACTGCTTCCACTGAAAGAAAACAAAAAGGTGAAAAAAACCACCAACCTAGTTCCATACACACAGAAAGGATACAAAGCCATGCCAAATAAAGGTTTGTAACAGATTTTAATGGTAGAAAAGCATTATTTTAGGATCATTTCACAATAAAAAGGCAAGATCTGATTGATGTTATACAGACATGGTGTATCAACCCAGACTGCCACAGGTGAAGCATACTGTAATACTCAGTATGAAAGGTAGGAGGTGCACTGTTGTATTTAGCCGATTACTCCTGATGCCTTTGTGGATACATTCTTAATTACAGGTCCTCTCTGCTTCATACATGTCAGCAGTGTATTTTGGAATTTAAAACTTGGAAGTGTTAAAATACACTGAAATGTGTCTGGGAAAAATCAAACCCAGGACCAATTTCTCACTACACAATAATAGCTCTACCAGTTCATTGAAACAAACGGCACCCTGTATATAAACTGTCTGTCTCATCATTCTACTCCCCTGTATATATATATAAAAAAAAGAAAAATTTTTCTTGATATAGAAAGTTGTTCCATCTTCTTGCTTCTGCATTCATGCAACTTCATTATCAGGTTTCCTTATCCAGACATTAAACTGTAAAATTAACAGTTACTTATCGTGGGGCTTGTCCATCACCTTCAGTGCTAATCTTCCAACCATTAGCAAACTATATGGGGAAAAACACAGAATGAAATAACAGTAAGAATAATTTGTCAACTCTTTTTCAAATACTTCCCACGTAACTGGTGCATTGAAAAAAAAAAAATACACAAAATACGATTTGCTCCATCTCAGGTTAATGAAGCAAATAAGAAATCACGTACAGGAGGCTAAAAAAAAAAGTATACTGTATTGTACCTGACACCAGCAATCAGCCCTGCAGGCATGAATTTTCCAGAGTTGTAAAATCTTGTTCCCATGACGCCAGTCAGTGTTCCAGACGTAACTTAAAGGAGAGATTATACGGTGCAGTCAGCAAAAATGCATGTGTGTGAGTGAGATGCTACAATTCAAAACTAACAGGTCAGAGAGAAGTAGTAGCATCAAGTTAAAAGTGAAACAGGGTTATTCCATGCAATGGACTAAAAGGGTCAATAAATTGTGCAGACTCTGGAATGCCTCAGTGTGTGAAGAGTAAGTATTCCAAATAAAATTGTAGCTGACAGTGCACTCCATATGCTTCTGCACACCCTGTCCTCAGATTTCTTTGTCAAAATGTTCTTCTTTGGAGACTGGAAATAATCTATGCTACTCTGCTCTGGAACTCACTCCTTCCCTGTGCACTTGCAAATGACTAAACCTGTACACATAATTATCCCACTTGTAAAAGCGAGAGAGCATTTTCATGCCTAATTTGTCATGTCCTGAGCATTAACTAAGTCCTGATTGGATAAGACTTTGAAAGGGAACTGTCCCATGCAAGCGCTAAGCATTACCAATCCATTTCAGCCCTGCACAACCTTCCACTACGATGGCAGAGTTAAAGCTCTGCCACTCTGCCTGTTTGACATAGAGACACGAGCCAGGGAGTTTCACTGAGACAGTAAAACAGAAAGGGCAATGTCTGGAACACTGTGTCTCAAAGGAAGACGAAGACCAAAAAAAATATACAGAAAACATACTGATTAAATCCTTAGCATGCATCTGCTACCCAGTGGCAACAGCTACACATTAACATGTTGCACCCACTCATTTTCTACCACTGTTTCTAAGTGATGGCTGGTCTTGGCAGGATGCAGCTCATCTTCAATCCTAGCCACGGCATCCTTCCTCCCTACCATCCCCTTAAATATTGCCCTTGACATCTAACAGTCTCATATAAGTAGATATGTAGAAGATGGGGACCATGGTGTAACATGCAAGAAAGAACTAAAGCACTTCAGTATTCAACCTTCAAAATATATATACCCCACTAAATGTAATTCTGTCTAACACAGCAGTAGAACATACTTTCTCCAAAATCTTTAAAGCATGAAAAGGAAGAGGAAAAGACTCCACATGCTACTGAATTATAGAGATGTATCTGTCTCCTACATTTGGGAAAATACTTTGGCTCACTCCCGTTATGCTTGCTGTACTTGCAGTTTATTGCAGTTATTTAGGCTTGACTGTGCCCAGCTTTTGACCTATCCAGTAGATGTGAAAGTAGACTGCACTGTGAACAAGGCTGAAGCATAGAGAAACACTGGGCCTTCCCCTTTCACACAAAGAGCTAGATGCTATGTCACTGCTTCAGTGAACAAATGCTCAAGTCAGTGGCAGCTCTTTAAGCACCAAGCAATGACTCTCCCTAGTTAGCTTCTCCAAGTCAGGGAGAAGGGAGGCTCCAGTTCTGAGAAGAAGGAAGAAGAAACTGCATTACTGAAGCTTGCTTCTCTGTTAAATCTCCTCAGGGGTACACCACCTTTGTAATTCCACATATTTGCCATATATAAAAATAAGCCAATCACAGTCTCTGCCATTTTCAGCAATAATAAAATAAGGGATATGGGCATTCTGCGGGGGTATCATGTTTCCTGAAATGCTCCAGCCTCCTGCAGGATGCTGAAAGTAGGATCCAGCCAAAAAGAGGACACACAGAGGCCAGAGATCCATTTACTAGCACTTCCCTTGCACTATCATCCTTCAAACACACCCGTATGAGGCAGGGGCATGATGGCAGCCACCAATTCAGCCAAGCCTGGGACTGAAAGATAGCTAGTGCTAGAGTACTGCCATGCACTGGTGCCTTCTACAGTTCAGGAGAGGAGAGGATACTACTAACACAGACACTGGCAAAAGGAGTACACAAAACACATGCTCACAAGTGTCTGGGATACAGCAGCCTAAATATTTACCTACAGCAGTAGGTAAATATATTTTCTCAGCTCACTTCAATTTGTGTCTGGGATACAGCAGCCTAACAAGTGTCAGGCATCAGATAAGATGCAGGAATTACCTACATATATTTTCTCAGCTCACTTCAATTGCAAGGTACCCTCACTTATTAGTGAATGTGAAAAGTTCAAGTCATGCTATTTTGCAACTGACATGAGCTTTAGGCACACACAGTTTGAAGTGATAGGCAGTAACTGTCCTAACTTGATTGCAATCCTGAACTCTATATGATAAATGGCAGAAAGACAAAAATGGCATTTTGGAGATTCACACCATAACACATACAAATTTTAAAACAGAAAATGCTTATTTGATCTTTTTTTCAGAAGGATGTGAAATAATGGTCATTTGGTTTGATTTTTTTTTTTAAACACGTTTCACTTCATCCTAGCAGACATCTTCCTTCACAATCTTTACCAAAAAATAGGTTTTTTGATGCTCAGAAGACAAACTTTAATGATAAATAACAGCTATTTTCCACTGATGTTGGAGAAAAGGAACAAAAAAGTAAGTTTAAACTATCACCCAAAGTACTTTATACTTCTTGCAAAAGGAACACAGTGAGAAACTCTGAGCAAGACAAATGAAGACAAGCAGAGCAGTTTTTAATACGCATTCTCATATATGCTTTGAAAAATGATTAGGTAATGCTAACTGTTCACATTCCACAGAAAGCAGTGGAATTTGGCAACTAAAACACAAGTTTAAAGATTGGATTGAAACCAGATTTATAGAACCATCAGTTTAAGCCTTTTAGGTACTCATTTTAAGTATCCAGTTATTTTAGGGTAAATATAATCACTTCCAATGAAAATTTTAAACTACTTACTCAGAGAAATCCAAACATTATTTGGGTTCTGTGAGAGCTGATAGGCACCCAGTCCAGCCAAACTCCCAAAGAAAAGGCCAGCAGCTAGCGATGGGACACTGCCTGAATAAGTAAATGACAATGCATTTATTAGAAGCTCAGAAATAAACTTGCTCATCAGTTTATCTGTTTTGTGAAACATCAACAACAAAGATGGGCATTCATGATTATAAAACAGGTTAGAGAGAGTTTTTTTTCTTTTGAGATATTAAGAACGTGCTGATCTGAACCAAGAAACACGTTTAAATACTCTTGCTTTAAGATACAAATAGCATTAGTATTTAATTCTTGAACAGCAAAGCCATTAATATATTTAGGATGGAAAGAACAGTGAAAAAAAGCGAAAGAATTAGTGTTTTCCTTGTGCAAACTGGAGCATGTAGTTTTATCAGTCATATCAGAATTTCTTGAGAGGCAGTGTATGAATTAAAGAGTAAGGGTTTAAGAACAGAAAAAGGACACGTGGACTGAACTGGGCAGGAGAGCATTCAGACAAATAAAGAGTTGCCAAAGAAGCATCAGAGTCGAGTAAGTAAGGTTGTATCTCTTCAGTACACCTAAGACGATCCAACGATAACTGCAGACTTTGGAAGAAGGTTTCCCAGACTTGCCTAAACTTTGGATCAAGTCCGCAGTATAAATGATAATCCCAAACTACCCGAAGATAAAGAATACCACATCCAAACTGTCAATTTACAGATTGCATCAAGTAATGAAGCAGTGTGACCACTGTGGGTGGTGAATGCCCTCAGTAAGGCTAATGGAGAGCATCTTAATGCTACCGAGGGTGGTGGTTCTTTATATATTCCATTTTTCACGTCACCTTTAAAAGACTAGAGATTTCAGAGCTCAGCTGACAAAGATCTCCTCTCAGTGTTACAGGAGGATCGCATAACGCTACCAGAAAGTAATAATTTTTCTGTCATCAGCAAGGCAGCTGTAACATTGCTTCAGACTCTGCTTTTGGTATAAAAAGCAAGAGATGAAGACCATAGGAAGCACCAGATATTCTTGTACCTGTGTAAGGAAAAGATGCACACCCTAGTAAGCGGCTGCTCTGCACAGCATACAGTTTAGCAACCAACGTGGTAGCTGCAATTCTTTCCACATGCCTGGGAGCCAAGACATGGCCACCATACCCTTGAATTTTACCTCAAGGCATTGTTTAAGCAGCTCTGATACATACACTTACTGGCACAGCCACAATAGCTCTGGCTCAAGAGATTCCTAAGTCTCAAAACACTGGGACCCAGAGAACTTACTAAACAAAGTCAGGAAAATCAATCTTCTAATCAATCTTTGCTTGCCCTGTTCCCATATTCTTCCCAAGGCACCAACAGCTGACCACGGACTGTGTGAGTAAATATACCTCATTGTAAAAGAATGGAGCTATCCTAGCTCTGTGGATGAAAGTTCAATTTTCTTTTGCTTTCTCCAAGTTATTAGGGATACAACAGTTTGCCTTTTTTTTTTTTCTCCTTCCTACAAGTCAACATACAAGTTCCTATTTCCCATTCAAAAATCCCGTGACCTGGATTCCCTTGCCTCACCATGACAATGTCCTCCCACCTGGGACCCGAGGATAAGAAAGGCACCGACCATTTCATAACGGCCTCAGAGAAACTAGTTACTGAAGTGTTCAGTAAACTCCATTCACAGCCCCAAGGATAAATCAAGTCAACAGAAAACAGATTGGAATAGGCATTAGCATCCACGTACCCTATCACAAACACTAAGATGGCCTAGGCATTTTTGAAGCTGGAAGTGTCAGTATTGCAGCAGAGATAAAGCCACAGTCCTGTCCAGAGGAGGGCAAACTCAGAAAATGGTCAGGAAATGAAAGCAGTGGGTCAGAGAATAAAGCTTACAATGCACAGCCCAGAAAAGGAACCAAGCTAAAGGACAGATTTGCACTGTTCAGCTCTACTTGGAGAAAGCATCGTTCCGAAAACTCTACGCAGCTTGTAGTACGTTATTACCATCAAATACTAAAACAAGAATAAACCTTTAAGGGAAAAATGGTGATTTACGTCACTTGAAGATACAGGACGCATGTATTTAAAACAGCAGGGGAAAAGCCTTTCTGAAGGAAACTTGTGTCAGCGCACCCTGAGAGCAGAGCGCAGAGGCAGGGCACCAGCATCCACCAGAAAGCACATCGTGGATTTATCAGCGCAAAGCACCGGCCCAACCCAAAAAGCACCACCCCCCAGCAGCAAGTTAACAGCCAGTTATCGCACATGGCACAGAGCGATAAACCCCGCATCTGCCCGAATTCCGAGACAGGAGGTGTTTGTAAAGAGCCGCCCAGTTCACACAAAGTTACAGGAGGGGAGGAGGGGGGTAGGCGGGGGGCTGGAGGCAGATACATCACCTTCCCGCACCCTACCTGCTTTTGCATAGCCAATGAGCCCTCCTGAGGCCACCAAAGCGGCGTAGCCAAAGCCGAGCC